TGAAGCACCTTCTCGCTGGGAAGCTGCTTTATAACAGTGTTCCTCAGAGTCTCATTCTACATCTCGGTTTGAGTGTTCCGTGTTTGCAAACTTCTTGGTGTATACACAATAGGCTTTTACTAATTGCTACTTCATTGGTTTTACTTCGACTATCTCTGAACCTTTGACAGTATAATGCAGGTAGAATCCATATGTACCCTCCACCCCTGTGAGTTGTTCCTTGAAAGGGGACGCCACGGCACGCAGATGACGTCTCGTCAGCACCCCTGGGCCCGAGGATAACAATGGGGAGTGGCCCAGAGACCCTGAGTGCCTTGGAAGGGTGACTGGGAGCCTGAAACTCTTCACAAACAGTAACCAGATGCGCAACTCCCTCTAGTGGCCGTCAGTGAAAGCTGCGGTGCTCTCAGCCAAGGAAATGCCATAGAGGGATGTAATGTTTTCCTCACACACACCCCACACACACCCCCAGACCCTGGACCACCTTTTCCGAGTCTGTCCTGTGGAAGAGGCACAGGCCACCCCCATTTATAGAATTTCCCTGGGTCTGGGTGGCACTTGCGGTGGACTGGACTCTCCTTGGTTGTACCCGATCAGAGCTTTTGCTCAGGGCCTGCTCTGTGAAGGCAGCTTCTTCCTGCCCAGCCCCTCTGGGCATCAAACCTTGCGCAAGTCCCTTCTAAGGCCAAGGCAAACAAGTAAGGTTTTCTAAAGTTATTTTTCCTAAAGAGCGTCCCACAAATTGTATAAGATTTACACCATCGATGTATAGGCTCAAAGTTTATATCTGAGCCTCAGGGTAACATAGGGACCACTCAGTCCAGAGCTCTCTGAACAGTTATTTGATTCAAATGTCCAGTCCCTAAACCCACTTCAACCCCGGAGACCACACAGAGGACTTTGAGAAGGCAGTATGGGCAAGGGTCAAAAACACAGGTTTGTAGTTCATACAGATGTAGCTCTAATCCCACCTCTGTCCCTAGGAATACTACTCGACTGTGCCTCTCTTTCTTCCTGAAACATAGAGATGATAGCCCTGGCCGATTTGGCTTGGTGGTTGAAGTGTCGGTCCACTGACCGAGGGGTCTTAGGTTCAATTCCCGGTCAAGAGCCTGTACCTCGGTTTCAGGTTTGATACCCAGCCCTGGTTGGGGCATGTGTGGGAGGCAACCGGGGTTGATGTGTCACTCTCACATCAGTGTTTCTCTCCCTCTCTCTCTCTCTCTCTCTCTCTCTCTTTCTCTCTCTCTCTCTCCCTTTTATTCACTCTAAAAAAATATATAGAGATGATAATTGTACATACTCTTCAGGTTGCTGTGAGAATAGAATCAGATGCTTGACCTGTAGGAGGCACTCCAGGAATAAAGGCTATGGGAAGATTTATAAATAGATACCCCATCCTGGAAATATATATACTAACTTAAATTCAACTCTATATATTAAGTGGAACCAAATACAATTGCTAATATTTCACTGTTTTATGACCTGCAAAAATGTTAGTTTCACACTATTCCTTCTTAATAGAACAAATTACTATAATTACATAGGGTGGCTGGGGTACAAGTTATTGGTAGGGACCCTCAGTCCCTCTCATGTGTATCTGTGCTTTGCCTGTAGAGGCTGAGAGAGGTAGTTTGATTCCTTGCTCTCTCCTCCCTCCTGGAGCCCTGCTCTATGACCACAAAGACCTCTAATATAAAATAAATGTCATGGATATGTAATGTACAGCAGGGTGACTATCTACACTAATAAAAGAGAAACATGCAAATTGGTGTCACTCTGCTATGCCCACCAGCCAATCGGATGAGTATGCACATTAACCCAACAAAGATGGCGGGAACATCATTGGCACCCAGGTCACTCCGAGGTAGGCCCCATGTGGGCCCTGAGCAGCCTAGGAAGGGCCTGAGCCAGGGGGCTCCTGGGCAGGGCCAAGCCTGCGATCGGAACTGAGGGGGCCCCTGCCCAGGCCTAAAGCCTGGGCCAGAGGTTTTAGGCCTGGGCAGGGGCAGAGCCGGCGATGGGAGGAAGCTGGGAGGCCCCTGCCCAGGCCCCAAGGCTTTAGGCCTGGGCAGGGGCCTAGCCGGCGATCGGTGTGAACTACAGAGGAAACACCTTTTCTGACCGCTCATTGGCTAAGCTCCCTGTATGTCACTGGTAATATTCTTAGTAACTTGGGTAATAAGAATCCAAAAAGGTGATCTAGGGTTTTT